TTACTTCTGTTAACCAATCTTCTGGGGTTGCAAATATAATTTTTGGTCTTGATTTCTCTTGAATCTTGTTTAGTGCTCTAGCCTCTATAAGACCAGGAATGTCTTGTGCTTTGTTTTTGTTTTGCTTTTCTTTTCTAATTTTTCTTCTTTTCCTTTTCTGGCATGCTAGGGCGAATTCAACAGATACTTTAAAATATATTATTAGAGTTCTTAAATCTGAATTATTATTCTACCTTTGTCGATTTTTTCTTTGTTCTTGAAGTTTCTTGCTCCAACCTATATCTAACTTCGACTTTATTTTAGCAGCTTGTTTTTTTCCTTGTTGAACTTGCATCTTTTCCTTTTCTTTTGTTTCTCTTCTTGTTTCTTGTTGATTTGTTGCTGAAGTCTTGATGGATTCTTTGAACTGATGTATTGTAGAATTCAGGGCTGTTTTGTTGAGCTGTCTCTGTCATCTTTTTCTTTAGTTTAGCATATTGTTTTTCCCTTTCTATTAATAATCTTCTGACTCCATCAGCCATTTTTAATTCTACTATATAACCAACTATTTCTTCTATTATAATACAATAACAGGGTCTTTTCTATCTTGATTTGCTTTGAGAAAAACTTCATGTTCTTTTTCTATTAGTGCAAGTTCTGTATATTTTAATTTTCTATATTATAGTACTTTAACTTTTTATAGAGTTCTGCTATCCTTTTGTCGGCTATTTCTTTCAGAATAAGCTCTTGCCCAGCATATTCTGCTATTATGTTTTCTATACCTATGTTTATTTTTTCATTGGATATTGCTGCTTTTAAGCTCTGGATAACTGCTATTATCTCTTTTATAGCTTCTGGTATATCAGAGTTAATGTAACCTTGTCTATATATCTCTATTCTTCACGTACTTCTTTTGCTTTTATCTTTGTTAATTTTGCTATGATAGGTTTTTTTTAAAACTTTCTGTTGTTGTTTTGCTTCACGTAACTTGTTGTTTTCTGACTACTGTTGTTTGTTGTTGTTGTTTACTGTGGTTGTTTACAATTTTTGTTTACTTTCGTCACATGGTTTTTGTTATATTTATTTTGTTTATTTTTTATTATGTGTTGTGATTCTTGTATCACCAAAACAGATTTGCAATTCAGGGCAAGGCTGATTCTCCAAAGTTCACAAAGTGCAAAAAAATATCAATGATTTTTCACGACTTCTTCTATTTCTTTGCCGCTTTTGTTTTTCTTACTTAAGTCTCTTAAGAGACTGAGTATTTCTTGTTGTTCTCTTCTTCTTTATTTAGGAGCCCGAGATTAGTTTCTTAGTAACTTTTGTGTGTTTTTTATATTTTTTGTTAAAATTTTTTTTTGAAAATTTTGTGTTTTGATGATTAGTGGAAAGAGTTGTAAAAATGAAAATTATACTATTTAATACTACTTAATTTACAATTACTCATCTATTATTTCAGATAATCTAAATAAAAATAATTCAAATATCAAAAATAATAATATATTGTGTTCTTATATTTATCATAATATGTTATAGTAGTATAGTATTATGGTATAGTGTTATTAAAGTATTAAGCACTACAGTTAGATCTTCTAAATGCTATTCCTCTTAAATATATATCATATAAAATACCTCCCTAAATGCATGCCTTCTCTTGGGCCCAACTAATATTTCATCTATAGATTTTACCTTCCTAAATGCAATACCTCTCTAAGTACACATTTGACTAAATTTTTATATATGGTCCTGTCATATTGTATTTAGTGAGGTCTGACTGTATATTATAATATTATGGCATTACAGAATTATAGTATATAATATTTATAGCAATCAGATAAATTCAGTAATTCAGTAATTCTACCAACTATATTTATGATCTTTAATCTGAATAAGTGTTCCAATTCGAGTATTTGATAGTCACAAAAACTTTTCACTAAAATTTACCCTAAGCATATGTTTAGAAGCATTTGATTAATTTCTTTGAAAATATAATTTGATTCTATTTTGAAGAATTTTGGGCAAAACACTGTATAGAAAAATAAATTCATTATTATTATGTTAATAATTTATATTAAAAAAATTAACCAGAGCCATATTTAAATAGTCTGTAAAATTGAATAAATAATTACTAATTGTTGTATTGTAAATATCTCGATATGCGTTTTCAATTCCATGAATAAAGGTACTGCAAATACTATCATAGTATACTGATTAAGTAACCCTATTTTTCAGTAAATCTCATCCAAAATACTAGGGTATTTTATATAGCATATTTATATTTTTTACTAGGGATAATACTCGGGTATTTTGCATAATATTTTTTATATTGCCATATATTGATTTTCATATTATATATATAAGCTCATACAAAATACCTCCACACAATCTATCCATTATTGAATAAGATGCCTACTAGTATTTTGTAAGTTTTTCAGTAGGTATTTATTTTGTATTAAGCCCAAGTCTTTTAGTCAGTATACTATGATAGATTTTACAAATACAATCTCTCTAATTCTAGAGTTTACTAATTTCTTCTCCACTTCACTATCGGAGCACTATAAAATTGATTAATAATACAGATACTCTAATATATGAATAATCAGTAGAACTAATTAGAAGTGGAGAAGAAATTAGTAAACTCCTAATTCTACTAGAGATTGAAACTATCTAAAATTTTTCTTAATTATTAATCATTTAGCTATTTAACTATTTAATTTGGCTAGCATTAAAATAATTCTAGCTCACGACCAAAATAATTCTGGCCAGAACTATAGAGCAACTTTTAAATAGTTAAACGGTTCTAATCCCTAAATTCTACATATAAATTACCTTTAAACAATAATGTAAAATGTGTTTGATCAGTCTATTAAATAATCTTGTATTACCTATTACATAACATATAAAAAAAAGGAATATGAGTTAATATTATATAATTAACAAAGTTAAAATTATTAAATTTGATAAAAATAATGTAATAAACAAAGTCAAAATTATTAAAATTTGAAAATTTGGTAATTCTAAAAAAAAAAATTTCTTTTTTACTTATCATTATGCAAGATATGTCAATCGAACAAAAGCATTTATGCTTTTTTAATGTCAACAACACATTTGAAGTCCCAGTAAAAGAATTTGATAGTAAAATTTAGCCTTTAATTTCAAATATCTGAACACACTATAACAGCTGTAAGTGTGCAAATAGAGATTTCTGGACTGTATATTCTTGCTGTTTAATGAAACACAACAAGTCAAGTACAAGGAAAGATAGAGTACTTGCAAATAAGAAAAGAAATACTAGTACACGTATTGAAGGCATATGCGATGCAAAAATCAAGATTATACATATAATTGTGACCCAAACTGTTCGAGTTGAATATTTCAAGAATACACCTCACTATAGTCATCAAATCGAAAACAGTAATTTGATTAAAACTTCAGAAGTAATTTGACAAATAGTAACCTAAGAGGCAAATAAGCCCTACATGCCAACAAGCATTGTCATGACTGTTAAGGTAAGGTTAAATTGGCTAAAAATTTTAATAATTAAAATTATTAGTAAATCTCAAATTGCATAATATAGTTTGGTATTAGCTTATTAAAACACTATATATTATTTTGTTTTTTTATATCATACCCTGTATTTGAAATTAGTGTTTGCAAAGTTCTTACAAAAACACTATTATAGATTTGTGCACAGTTTAAATTTTTTACTGTTTACTATTAAAAATTTTTTGAGAACAGTAAAATAATAATAGTATTCTTATAAGTATATATATGATCAATACATAGTTACTTCGATCATTATATCAATTTCTTTTTTTATTTTATCAATTTTTTGTTAACACAAACAGTGGTTTGAGAACACCAATTATTATTATACTGTTCTTATAAAAACAGTATTTTACCTTAAATATCTTTTTTTTTGATATAACTTGATATGACTGTACTTAGTTTTTCTTGGTACTACCACATATCACACTATAAATTATTATATCATATTGATGAGAAATATATCTTGGAGTTTTTTTTTTCATTTTTTTATTTTTTTTTTATTTTTACTATAATTAATAAGTAAAGTGTAATGTATTTACCACCAACTATCATTACAATTGATCAAATTTTTGATTTTTTATCTCATATTAAGAAACTTGCCCAAAAAAGTGATCTTGGTGTACTTGCTCAACACTTAACTCAAAAAAATATTGCTAATATTCAGCAAAAGCAGTGAATATAACAAAATACTTGTTTCCCTAGTGATCATAATTTTGAAAATGAATTACAATATGCACTTGGTTTTTTGGCTACAAAAAATTATCAAGTGAAACATTTTCATATTGAACAGTCCTGTAGTTTTTGTTTTGCTGATCAAAGGCAAATTGAAAGATTACAAAAGTTTGGATGGCTCACCCTTATTGATGCAACATATAATACTAAGAAATATTAATAGCAACTCTTTACTTTATATAATTAAGATAATCACAGTTTCTGGAATATTAGCGCATATATATTTGTGAATATTAAAATATTAATATGCTAACCTATACACTAAAAATCATTCACAAACTCGCACCTGAATGGCATTTATATTATATATTTTGTGACCAAAGTATCATTGAAATAAGTAGCATATCTAAAGCATTTCTGGGGGTCTCCCATGATGAACAAGAATATAAAGTTTTCTTTTGTATGGTTTATGTGACACATATATAGATCCAAAAAATTTACCACTTGTTAACTCACAATCAAATGATTTTAGTAATAAATAAAACAACAAAGGTTGATTGTGAAGAAACCATTTGCAATGCTATAAATGCATGTTCCATTTCCGATATTGCTCGTTATCTTAATCAAATTTATATTAAAAATACAAAAAAGTGCCCTCTTTGGGCCCATCAGCATTCTCCTTTATTGTTGCAAGTTATTTCTACAAATCTCTTGGAATCTTATTACAGTGAGCTCAAAAGGATCACTGCAAAGCAACATGAATTTATTAGTAAATAGTGATATAAAAAAATTCTGGCTTGAAATTTAGTACGCAAATTTATGTACTTAAAAAATTATGTATATATACTGCAAATTTTATATGTTTTGCTAATATATATATAGGAAGCGCATATGTGCACATCAGATTTTTTTTTACTCGATATAAAATCATTAGAAAAATTTTTTAAGTGCTATGTATTGATACATATCTGGATGATTTAATTAATATATAATGATTATTATCGATTAT